ACGCATAACACCACACGAATCAGTTACTTGGCTGCCAGGGAAGCGAGGTGTAGCGCTTTCACGACGAAGGTTCGCTGGTTGCTGAGCAGGACTTCGAAAGCACTCCCCCAAAAGCGATCCGCCCACTAGTTTAGTTGGTGATTTGGACGAGCTGCGTTGCCAGCAGCGGCACAACTAAAGCAACTCGACTGTAGCATGGATTGGCATGCTGTCACCAAACGCGTTGCGCTGAACTCGTTCATACGTCCGCTTTCTGAGCTGTTACCTGTTCATGAGTGGAAAAAAGGGTCCCGTTTTGCGTTTTCTTGACGGATTTCTCCGCTTTTTTCGCCTACTGGCGTACCACTGAGCACCACCAGTCTCCTATAAACCCTTCTTGATTCTATCGTAAGTCACTGCCTCTGAGGGGGGGGGGGAGTTTTTACAACTCCACACAATCCGCTTCAGAGAAGACTTAGAAACCAGAAGAAATAAATAGAGATTAAAGGAGGGATGTTTAACTGCGGATGGTAGGCGTGTCGTTCACCAATGTGAGCGAAATTTGCCCTAAACTTATGAATTGTTCCGAGAAGTCCAAGAAAATGGAAAAAAAGAAGATTGAGTCCGTCAATGGGAGGAAGGTCAATTGCTATCGGCGGGTGGAGCGTGTGGGCGGAGTTTGCCCCAAACTTCCAGTCTAGATCCGAGAAATTCAGAAGATCGGGAGAAAAGTGGAGAAAGGCTTGCGGAGAAAGGAGCCCAAATGCTATTGGTGAGCCCCAACTAGGAAAACATCACTGCCCTTCATTTATACCGATGCAGTCCCGTGTGATGCACGCGAATGCATGCGCAGATAAAGTGGTGGTTCATAATGGTGACAAGTCAAGCTTAAAACTCATGTGAAATTGCAAGGTGACTTACACGCTAAATCTGTCTACGATTACTTGCGATTTCAGCTCAGTTCATCGAGAAGAAGGCAAGAATCAGGATTAAATTGATGGGTAATTCCACTCAAATGTGAAAGTAGGGGTGGGAGGTGGACCGCCAGTGGAGAAAAAAGGAAAGAAAATCCTGAAATACACAGGAAATACGAGCATTTTGCTCCATGCTGTGGAGAAGTTCAAAAGACAGGCAGGGAGATGAGATAATGTGAGCGCGGAGAGTGGTAGAGAAGTCCGAGAAGAGAGCATAGCAGATCAACGTGGCGACGCAGACAAGATATCGAACGGTGGGCGGACCATGTTAAGTTTGGTGGAGTCTGTTAGAAGTCCATGGCGCCTAGGGTCCTAGTGACGCGTTTCGATGTAGAAAGGTGGCGCTACCTTTGCACTTGCGTACCCAGCACTTCTAGCCATGGTAAGGGCTTCTTAGGTGGGTCTGAGCCCGAACTTTGCCTTTAGTGTTGCTTGCAAGACCAAAACCCTTGAGAAATTGCTTATGTTTGAGTGACTGGAAAAGATAAGGATAAAGCATTTGCCGTTGATCAATCCCTTTTGGGATGCGGCACGCATTCTACTTCCATTTGTACATTCGTAGTGGCGTTTGAATGCGATGTGGCCTATACAATGACTTGCGGGGCCAGCCGATGTACAAGTCAGTGTTTTTATCCTCCCAGACAAGTCTGGTACCAATTAACCGACCCCGGAGGGATGGAAGGCTTGGTTGGCCCGGGCGACTCACGACCCAGGATTTGATCCCCGGACCGCTCGCGTGGTAAGCGTGCCACTTGCCACTACACCACTTCCGCCCTACAGTGATTGTTGTTATGAAATATTCTAACGAAATTTTACTCATACCAGCAATCAAGGAAATGAGAGATAATGTGAGCGCGGAGAGTGGTAGAGAAGTCCGAGAAGAGAGAGCATAGCAGATCAACGCAGCGACGCAGACAAGATATCGACGGTGGGCGGACCATGTTAAGTTTGGTGGAGTCTGTTAGAAGTCCATGGCGCCTAGGGTCCTAGTGACGCGTTTCGATGTAGAAAGGTGGCGCTACCTTTGCACTTGCGTACCCAGCACTTCTAGCCATGGTAAGGGCTTCTTAGGTGGGTCTGAGCCCGAACTTTGCCTTTAAAGAACGAGACGGCCGATACTTAGATAGCGTGAGTGCTGAAGATGGCTACTTACTCACTTGAGCATGCATAGAGAGACCTACACAGAACAAATGAAATGTCCTGGCTGAAGTAGCGACAAAGAGGCAAAACATTATTGGTACCAGCGTGAGAAACATCTGAATTTGTTCGAGGTTGCAATTGGAGCCCAAAAAGTGCAAAGGAGACGGGTCAAGCGAATGCCACGGCGCGTTGGAAAAGGCCCGATTTCAGTTGCTGGATAGTGTCGTTTTTCGTATTGCATGACACACGAGGAGTGGGTGTGATAGCAAAGGCGTGGAGACGATCGTGGTATGCATTTCAGATGTGACGACTATCAGACGCCTTGCTCGATCACCATCGACCTCCGACGTCCTCGACACAACACTGGGCTACCCTCATACGCTACCTCCACGCCTCGCATCTATTTCGCGTTATCCTACTATTGCCGTCACATCCACGTCTTCTAATGGAGATTCAGAATACGTTTCAAATTCAGTGGGACAAAACACCATACCAGTCATTTACCGAGTATTTCTTCGCAAAAATTGCAACACATGGCAGCAATCCGGCCATAGTGAGTGCTTTATAACGTTGATTCCTTCTTTGAAAGCTCCGAATGCTCCACCCGTTAAATTCAGATTGACGTCGAAAGCGGTAAACAGTGGCGATACTCAGAATTACGTGGCTGGTGTGATATGTGTAGCATGCGATTGAAAGAAATACAGGAAAGTAAAGGTTTTGTTGAGACCGTTACAATTACGTATCAAATGATTTGTTTTAGGTCACTTCAAACAGCCGAGTAGCAGTAATTACAGGAATTACTGGTCAGCCGTTCGCAATGCAATCAGAGTTTCATGAAGTAATCACGTCTATTTAGGCCAGGCTATTTTCGTACATCTCGCATGCGCTATAATCGGGTGTTCAGCTGTAGCAGTGAATGGATGGAGCACAGTAGGTGCGTTTTATGAGTGCCAAATTCTCGCTCTGTTAGGAAGGTCGATGGCACTAGATTCGGCCCAGGCCTCAACAATGGCTACACTACAGTTACCCTTGAAAGCTTGACTGGTACCAAAAATATAACTGATAAGTATGGAGAATTAGTCGGCCTTTCTGGTGTGCGCCATGCTTTCGTCATTTATTTGGAATTGCTGTTCATACAACGGGATGCGAAACGTTCCTGTTTGGAATTTAGTCTGGCGTTCTCTCAGACATTCTATTAATTTTGAAATACCAAAGAGCTACAAGGCGTCAGCCTTGTAGAGTGAGAGCCAGGATCAGACGGGAAGTCAAGAAAATTTTTAAACGTTCCCCCCCCCCCTTCCCCCTCGCGGACGCTGGCCTTGGGACGTGCTATAGTCCACATGAGCAGAAGTTGAAAATGGGGCTTCAAACGACCATAGCTTTCTTCGAAGAGGAATTGCTGAAAACAAGAAAGAAGAAGTATAGAAAGTTCTGAAATCTACTTTCTAAGAAGCTCTGAATTTGGGCCGCATAATTAGAACTGAGCCTTATAGAGGAATTATCAAGAAATTGTGGGGATACGCGCTTTTTTACACTTCTGAAAATTTTTTAATCCAAGTGATTCCTAAAAGTGACTGATAAATGTATTATATGAATAGTGACCTCTTTAAGAATGTTAACAAAAAATAACGAACTAAATTTCCAGAGCACGCGAGTTTTTAAAATTCAGTAGCCATAACTTCCTTCAAATGCATTCGATCGGAAAAAAGAAGTGGGACGCTTTCAACCAGAAGATTCGCTCATTTTATGGCTAGCAAAAGTGCTGCATAAAGTTGGTATACCAAAAACAGCCGCACTGAGTATTTGTGCTTGGGTAACGCAAAGAGGTGCAGGTCTGTTATGCTCGCATTTTACAACTGTTTCCAGCTGATACCCGCACGCACGATCCCATTCCTTTGTTGCGAACCGAAAACGAGCCCTTTGGCTGAGGATGCCTCGCCGCACGCTTGACCCTGGCCTGCATTTGTAAGATGTCTGTTCGAAAGACGAAGTACTGGGCCTTTGACATCACGAGGGCAGGCCTGTGGTCTGATGCAACTTTCCATTGTTGCCTCTCAAGAATGCATGCTGATCTGTGGCTGCGCGGAAGGGCTCTACTTCCGCTTCGTTGTCAAAGGCAGTAATTAAGATATTTCTAAGAAGGGCATAGAGGAGACGTGATGGTGCTCAATGGTACGTCAGTGGCGAAAAGAGTCCGTCAAGAAAACGCAAAATGGGACCCCTTTTTTGGCCGTTGGTTTTCACTCATGAACAGGTAACAGCTCAGAAAGCGGGCGTATGAACGAGTTCAGCGCAACGCGTTTGGTGACACCATGCCAAACCACGCTCCAATCGAGTTGCTCCAGTTGTGCCGCTGCTGCTCGTCCAAATCACCAACTAAACTAGTGGGCGGATCGCTTTTGGGGGCGGAGTGCTTTCGAAGTCCTGCTCAGCAACCAGCGCACCTTCGTCGTGAAAGCGCTACACCTCGCTTCCTGGCAGCCAAGTAACTGCTTCGTGTGGTGCATATGCTTTCCCCGATGCGCTTCCACTTTATCGTAATCGCTGCCTTTAAGGGCTAAATCTTCCTGGTAAGTGAATAGTCGAAGGATTTATCAATCCGCAGATGAATAAAGGCTCTACAGCAGGGAGAATAATGGTCGAGGACCATGGCTCTGTACTGTCTGAGAATAGTATCGAGTCGAGAATAGGGTGAATGTACGAGCGGAGAGCACAGGCGGCTCGCGCGTGGCGAGGGATGCATGCGCGGAGGAGCGTGACTAAACAGCCGTTGCCGACTCTTTGATCGATTTTCATCCTGAACCACTGTGATGGCAAAAGAGTAGGTGAACTAGATGGAGGAAAAAAATTGGACCGTGGTGATAGGATGATATGTATTAGGTACCGGATATCTTAGTGTCGCTTTTCTGAGTTCAGGAAGTTTTGGGGCCGATTACTATGGAAAATCAATATCTCAGAAAGTCCTTTTTGCTCATTAATACTGCGAAATATGTTGCTTATTGTTTTCTATTGTTGGTTCACAATTTAACTTTCCCCCAATTTTTATACTTTTTTTGAAAATCCCTGGGTCCAGTGTGCAAATTCGCATGTGTGTACCAAATGCTTCAAAATACTAAAAAAAGGTGGCCCTAGTTAAATCAGTCGAGACGGGGCTGCACCAGTCTTGTGCTGAAATGGTAGGACACCTTAGCAGTGACTGATCGATGGTGCACAAACGCTTTAACGAAGTTGATTGCACAAGAAATTCTAATAAATGTGCTCATCTGCTACTCACGTGTGCTCAAAAAGGGTGCGTTTTTGACCCTATGTGGCAAAAAAGACTCCGGGAAAAAATTGTCCAGTTGAGCTGGTAAGTAATAACTTTTCCACCATACAGTGCAGACCCTACTCTAACTAAATGTACTTCTTTTTTGTCCAGGCCTAACTTTTAGCAAGTGAGAGGGATGATTTGTCAGATGATGTCAAAACCGACCTACCTCTCTTTTTCGACTCAAAAAATTCCTAGCTTTAATCGTACGAGGTTTCCACTCATACTGGTAAATGGGAAAGTGCTAATGAGTCATTCGATGAATATGCTGTTTCACTCCCTGGATTCTGAATTAAAATATTGGTGGTCCGAAACTCGTGGTGAAAAAACGACACTAAGATATCCGGTACCATAATACTACATTGCTGTGCTCATGCCAGAAACCGTGTTTTGTTGATAAATGATCAAAATTGAGATTATATTGATAATATTATACTAATATTATATATATAATTATATATTTATATAATATATATTAATTTTTTACTGGATTTTGTTTCAGACGAAATATGGCAGATTGTTGACTTAGGCGAAGCCACGCATCTAATTGTTGAGGCGCAGTTTTATTCAAAAAGTGGGTCGGCCGTACTTGCAAGTAATGGAGCAGCAAAGGAAGGTATGGTACTTGTTCGTAGGCTGAAGACGTTCGACGAAAAGCCGCGATGCGTGGCGGCGGACGCATCAGACACGTTCGAATAATAGACGATGTCTTGACTGCGGATTCCATTAACAACGACACAAAGAAAAGGTATTTTAGCGCTAGTAATTTTTACATTTTTCTATTTCTTTTGTTAAAGTATTTCTACGTAATTCAGTTAGAATCAGTTATCGGCTCCCCCACTTTCTTCACGATTTGGGGCGCGGCCGCGGCGAGCGCGGACGAGTCGATAGTGCCCGCGAACTGTGGTGGTGATGCGTTTTCAAATTTACCCACACAGTTCGCGGGCACTATCGACTCGGCCGCGCTCGCCGCGGCCGCGCCCCAAATCTGGGGGAGCCTCAGTTATCATGTAAGAGCTAGTGGATTTTTATCGGAGCATTTTCAGGCAACAGCTTGTCAAGGAGTTATCAACAACAAAATTCTCGTGGGTTTTCCTAGTTTGAAAAGTGTGATTAGACTGGTTGTGATACTGCTGATGAAACTGTAAAGCTGACAAAGATCAGGGGACCATGTAGTTTTTAACAAGGTTCCCGAATAACATGCGTAGGCTTGGGTTCGTGTCTTGCCAGCGATGAAAAGTTTGCTTGTAAGTGAGCATCCCCGTGACGGCAAGCGCATTCCAAACTGGAAATGCTCAAAAATACATCAGGTGGGCAATACTTTTGATTTGATCTTTTCTTCGGAAGGGAATTACTCAGCTGAAATACGCTGCAAGAAGCCGACATTTCGATGTTATGTAGGAGGACCCCTATGCAGTTTACCCGTATTGATTGGCTTCTATACCGCCATATTTGAACTGCTGAAAAGGTTTGGAAATTAGGAAGAATAACGGTCGAGGAAATCCTCGACAGGGGGTCGTATTTGCTCCGATGAGAGTTGGGAGGGGGTCGTAATCAAAAGGTTCATCAACGGACACAACGGTGCTGCTGCCACTTATTTGCTGTCATCATTAATTTCACAAGTGTTGTAGTTAGCCTAATGCAAATAATATCTTACAACTGTCTGGAATTAAAATTTAAATGGAAAGTGGTTGTTGGTTTGGTTCGTAGTGATCAGTATGGCATAGGAAGGCAACGCGTCCTGCAAAAGAATCGTAGGGAAGGGCAGTAAAAATCTATTCCAAATTAATGTAGACGCTTTGAGAACCTAGTAGAGGAACAGTTCGCAGCCTTCTTGGCATTATCAAATACTGCAGCCGCAAATGTGTCATTCATCGGAACAGGGTGGAAAGGAAGCGACGTTAATAAAGAAAGGATCAGACTATACTATGACCATAAGTGTTGTTCTGAACTACTGAAACAAAAAATACCTTTCGTCCTGCATAAGTTGTTGTCATGTAGACAATACACCTTTCAAACGACTCGGGGTTGGGTCATGCATGGCGCATGCCGCATGCAAGCTAGCCGGAAAGTAATATCAGTAAAATTTCCGGACAAGGTTCCATGAGCAGTTCCATTAGGGCCACCATCAAAGGGTGTTTTGAAAAATTCCTGAAAGGGAATTTTCTCGAACGATGAGGAAACAGTCGGGGAGCAATAAAAGTCGGTGACCGCGTCTGTTTCATCTCATTGAGAAAGATCTCAGAAAAGCCATTGGGCTGTTGCACACACGTTCGAGGTCTCTTCTAGTACACACGCCAATTCCTTGAAATGAGTAGGCAAGGCAATACTACGATGAGTGGGAAGGCAGTGTCCTTTAAGAACTGTATGCCAAAAGTGACCTTAAATTTGCCCGATCCTGCAAGAACTTCTACGATTATAAACGCTGGGGTTCCTAGCCTAGAACTCCCTTAGCTTCTTTCAGCTAAACTTTTCGGTTTTCCTTGTGGTCACAAAATTGAGAATGTTTCACAAGAATGCTGGGTTGTGAACAAAACTTTCGCCCCAGGCGGGACTAGAACCCGCACCTCTCGCTTTCCGGGCAAGTGCGCTACCAGTTACGCTATCGGGGGAAAAAATATGGTTTAATAAATGTACGCAATATTGATATCATAATAATGTTTATTACAGATTACCTCCTGAGGATCCTCATGCTGAAGTTTTTTCTCCTATTTCGGATCCTAGCGTATCCAATACGGTTAATGTTTTGTTATTTAGATCCGCGAATCTCTGAAATTTTTCTTGGATTTAGGAGAATGGTACAGAAGAGAACTGCGAGTCGCTGCCAGAAGTCCAGACTGCGGTGAATCCACTAGCTGGCCAAAATCCACTGTTTATCTTCTTCACAAGCGGCACAACCGGTTTACCAAAGGTATTCACAGTATCAAGCATGGTAAAGCAGGGTCAACCGTCCGTTGGACAAAGTCCAACGCATGGCTCTCTAGCGTGTGAGAGTAATGCCGAGAGTGAACGTACGCACGGAGACACAGACGGCTCGCGCAAGGCGAGTGCGAATGCCGGCGCGGAGAGCGGTCAACGTCGGTCCAACGTCGGTCCAACGTAACGGTTGACCCTGTGGTAAAGTATCTCGACAGAGAGGTAGTAAACTTGCACAGAAGGCATAGTTATTGTTGACAAAACTCACTTTCAGCCCTTCCTGTGAAATAAGGGTGCAAGTTCTGATCTGCAATATTAGTAACCTAGTCCGGTAAATGTTAAATCAAGAAATGTACTTGTAACTACTATCAAATATTCGGTATTCATCCACATTTCCATGCACTCTCAATTTTTCGTTTCTACATTTTTGCTTGTTCAACTACATTCACACGTCCACGACTGGAAGTTGTAAATCCTAAATTATTGACACCAATTTTGAAGAGAAAAAGTATTTCCTGAATTTAGGCTGAAACTAACTCTCTTCTTAAGTCAACCACGAAGGTACTACTGTATTTTGGTGGTGCCAGCCGCTGTCGTGGCAAATGAGATCTCCGCGCTCTCTTAACCCAAACATTTCAGCGTTTCGCTCAGGTCGAGAGGCTTAATACCTTCCCTTCCTCCAGCTGACATTCCTCTGGCTCACGAATTCCTCGTTTCACACTAATCACTAATCTCGCTGTGCGCAGTAAACTGTTCAAACCACACCCCTTCGAACTCTTTCCAACCTGATTCAGGCTCAGTTCAAATTGCGGTCTATGTAGCGCCGTAATTTCGACACCATGCACATTAATGCTCGATTTGTCGCCGTTTCAAGCGTTATAAATAAGCACGGTACCCACAATAATGCTAGTATTTATGGCCAGCAACTTCAGGTCCCACGGATTTTTGTGTTTAAACGTATGGAGGGAGCATTTTCGAAGAAAAAAGAGAGAAGCGATCCGAAACCAGTGCAATGAGACCCTTTTTGTCCGCTGTTTCTACGTTGGGCGATTCTACGAGAGATGACGTCATCAAGATAAGCGCCTTGCTCTGCCGTCTGCTACAAAGGGTTGGGCACAAATAGGAGAAGGGTAGAGACTAGAACGGCCTTTCCTTCGTAACAGAAGTGTATACGGGCACAGCTTAAAGTTTAAAATCAAGCATGATCCATAAGTGGCAGTGATTCTGATCGTACATGAATTGCACAAGAATTCAATGATCATTCAGGCGGCAGAATATGCTCATCGATCACTCATCATCAACCTTCAACAGATGAGCCTTCCGCTCTACGGACCCGTTCAGCCACGGGAACGTTTCCTTCTTCCACTCTCGCTTTCTCACATTTATGGAGTTATATCCGCTTACTATGCGCTGGTCAATGGCGCAACTGTCTACATGATGTCGAAAGTGTCAGCAAAGACTCTCGTAGAGAACATAGTAAATTTAAATGTAAGCCTTTCTTGTGAGCATCTTTTATTCATCTTCTTTCATTCTACCTTCTACTGTGGATTTTGATTCAAGATAAATGTCTCACATATCACATCGGCAATGATTCTGTGGCTCTCCATGGACACGGCGCTGGAAGCGCTACAAGCAAACAACCTTCGCTCGCTTTTGGTAGCCGGAGCACCAATTGACGCAAATTTGGCGAATTATGCCAAGCGAAGAATGCACTTGAAGGATTTGAGGCAATGTATGTTTGTGGTTTTTGGGATTTTTCAATTGTTTACATGCTTACTGGGTTTGAAGCCCAGGCCGCTCTGTCACTCCTGAACGTTTCAGCTTATGGAATGACAGAACTTGGAGGATTGTGCACCCTTTCTCCTTACGAATTCGACAAGATCGAGAGTGTTGGATCACCACTTCCAGGAATGCTATTCAAAGTACGTTTCCCCTTACGTTGGACTTTTCCTCGTTGCGATGATGCAGCCGAATACCTTTGACCTGATTTTCTGGAAATACGTTGTTTCAAAGATGATTCACTGGGATCTGATTCTATCGAATTCCAACATGTGACTGGTTCCGTCATTGCATGTTTCAAAACTGTAGAGACCCTGTAATATTGAAATAATCAGAGATAGCTATCGAAATTGAGGAGTGGTTATCCAAAAGGCAGCAGGTACTAGGGTCATTGTCGCTCTCACACTTTCAAAGATTTCACTATTTCCCCGAGAGTCTCGATACGACCCCTATCCCACCATCAGCCTCGAAGGGGGGTGGGAGGGTGGGTACGAAACTAATCAGTGGTATTCTCCGCGTTCTAATACCATTTCACGAAAAATTAACTCAAGAACTCAAGAAAGGTGCAGAGCTTCTTTGATGTACTCATTGTTTCGATTTTTGCGACGTAAATTGTTCAACAATGAATGAAATACATGGAGTTATTCTCGAGTCTCATGTGTTGAATGTTTTCTCTTCAGCAAATCTAGTTGGTGAGGACTCTTCTTAACAAGGTGAGCTTGATATAACAGCTTCCTTAGACGTATAATATAATTAAATACCTTAGATCTGAGGAAGCTGTTATATCAGCGAAAGCTCACCAATAAAGGTTGTTGAAAAAGACTCCTTACCAACTAGATTTGCTGAAGAGAAAATGACTGAAAAGAATGTGGTCGGTTAAAGGAAGTTCTGGCAAACTGCTGCTTAAGCTTTTGCCTTTATCGGAAACAAAGGTTAGCAGCTGTCGGAAGCGTCGATTTCGAACGCTTAGCATTTAAAACTTCCGAGCACTATATCGACAAATTCAACATAGAAGCAAATGACGTAAAAAGAGTTGTAGATCAGAAAAATACTTTGGACACCATAAGGTTTTCCAAAAAAATTGCTGAATTCAAAATTGCAGCCGAAGGCGTACGATACCATCTATCGACCTAATACTTATAATATTTGTGCTTATTGGCCCGCCAGTGATGGAGAGAAAGGAAAAAAAATCAAACCTTTTGAAGGAGGTTGGAAGGTGATCCCCACTAGGCGATCCCGCATCGTAATGTTCGCTGACCTTGTCAAAACTGCTCCGACTCTCAGCCAACGCACCCACATGAAAAACTCGTCTGCGACGCGGACACGTCGCGTACTGATGACGTCACTGTAGCGTAACAGCCCGCGACTGCAGCGCTCTCGCGGATACTCCAATACGTTACGTACTACCAGCTTTATCTTAGCCTACTTTACTATGTTTTAAGAAGTAGTAAGTCGGGTTCGAAAATTATACAGTCGGATTCGAATCATATACTTCTCCACACCCGCTGCCTTTAACACAAAGACCACTATCGTTGTGCATGTACATCGGCATGTTTTTTTTTATATCTTGCGCGAGTATTCACCACCTCTTTACAACTTCACCATTGTTGGTGCATATATTATTTTCGGATTCGTTGACGTATGTTCAGTTTCGAGACATGAAGATGGCCATATAAATCGAACAAACTAGTCTCGCCCGTGCCAAGGCGTGTCCTTCTTTCGTTTCACGCCGTCGCCACTGGGATGGGAAATTTTAAGTATTGCCATGATTGCTTCCCCAAAACTATACCTTTCTTCAGATTGTCAGCTGGGAAACCAAACAGCTTTGCCCGCCAAGAACACCAGGGCAGTTGATGGTGATGGGACCACAAGTAGCTCCATGCTACTATAAGAATGCTAAAGCGACAGCTGAACTCCTAGACTCGAGCGGCTACGTGAAGACAGGTGCAGGAACTCTTTGCCGTCAACATTTTTAGAAAACCAATCCGCCACCTTGCAGGTGATGCCGCGTTTTATGACGAGACTGGTAACATCTATGTGTTGGACCGAATGAAGGATATAATCAAGTACAAAGGAACACTGGTTAGTGCACAAGCTAGATGCTCTAGAAGAAGTACTCAATACAGTTCCCATTTAATCCGAATTTTTTCAAAGTGTCACTAATGTTTTGGCTTCAGGTCTGTCCATCGGAGGTCGAGTTGACGCTCAGAGTCCATCCAGGGGTCGATGACTGCGCTGTTGTTGGAAGGCAAGACCATGTCTCTGGCGAGGTATGATTAAAAGAATCCGACTGGTTTTTGAGGAAATTTCAATTTACCGATAACATCTGTTTGGTATTTTCTTTACAAATGTCACTTCACCAGCAGGTGCCGGCCGCTTTTGTTGTGAAGAACTCGGCACACCCTCTGCTATCGTCAGCTGAGGTCCGGCAGTATGTTTCAGGTGAGATCGTGTTGGTACCAAAAGGGAATTCTTGAAACCGTGAAAGCCAGTATCTGCAGGAAAAATCCCTACGTTCAAGGAGCTCCGAGGAGGGGTGTTTTTTGTACCAGAAATTCCACGAAGCATCTGTGGAAAAGTACTACGTCGACATTTGAGACAATTCTGGGACAGAGAAAGGACAAATTCGAAGGTTTGGCTCCTCATCAGTTTTTTTTTGATATTCCACTAGCACACTATTCAGGACGTCGTTTCGAAAGACGGTAAACCAGGAAAACTGCTCGATAGGACTGACAAGCTTGCCAGTAAGAAGGCTAACGGCACAACAACTCCGACGAAGAGACCACCTGGCCGTGCTCAGAAGAAGTAGGACAGCTTAGAAATGAGCTCAGAATGATGTTTCTTCAGTTTTCTCTAACATATTGCAAGATGATGTCATGATTTAAATTTCAAGTGTCCCTTCCTTACCCCAGAGCCATTGTGTCAGTTCAAAGGCAGGTGGCGCGATAAATACTACAGAATGTTGAAAAGTTGTGAATGCGTCCACAACTGAGGTAAGCTGACCTCCTAAGGGGCTGCGTTCGCTGAGTAGAAGGCGTCAGCAGAGACACGATCAGGTTTACATATGCCTCTTCGTCCTTCGGCTCGCTCCCACCCCCTCCCTCTCAATCCTTCGTTGGCTACCTTATCTCCTACTCCCTTGCCATCGGATTGAGCTCTAGCTCAAAGGGATACGTCCAATGCGGGAAACAACAGTTAAGCAAGGATCTGAGGCAGGTGTTCCCTGACTTTTCTTCACTGCTGGAACTCTTTCTCCGATTCCCAATGAGGACCAATTTATCGTAGCACTTGCCTTTAAGATCGGGCACTCGCTTTCGCTCCCGTTAGCAGGTTTTCATCCCTGAATGTTCATCCATTTTGAAGGTCCTGAACCGGAAGCATTCATATTGAATGGGCATTTGGGGACATTCAAGTAATAGCATTTCTTTCTAGGCGAAAGCACTCGTTACTCTTCTTGTTAAGAACGTCGCAATTGTTTTCATTATCAAAGTAGCTAAGGGTAAGATCTTATACATTATATACTTTGTGTTTCACCCTAAGGCATTTTGAAAGTTCCTAGGAGAGTCTATACGTTCCTGAGTGTCATGTTGTGTGTGGTTCATACGGCTTTACTTCGGTGCTAGCTCGTTCGCCTTCGAGCCTCTCACCTTGCTTTATGCTTTAACATTTGTGTTCTTAGGACTCCATAACGTCTCCTCTTATACCATTAAAGAACTTTGAATTCCATGTGTGTCTACTGTTTTCTTAACAGTTTTGTAATATTTTTACATAAAATGAATCTCTTTGTATTAAACTGTGCGGAAATCTACACAATACGGGGACAAGGATATTGACTGTCGCTTGGAATTTCCCGGACTATTTCAGAAGAATTTTAGTTTGCAGGATTTAACGTGCGAGCCATAACGAATTTTGTGTGTTCTGTGGCTTGGCTCTGCTGAGTAAGGGCACGATTAGCCTTTCGGCGACGTGGTGAGGGGGGGGGGCGCTTTTTGCCGGGTGGGATACAGCTTTTGCTCGAAACTTTTGCTCGAAAATAGAATCTGGAAAGGTTTCAAATTTATAACGATGACATATTTAATCAGAAGGGCATTGCAGTACTCGTGGTAGCCACGGTCGGTGCTCAGTTCTCAGCGGATTTTTATTTAAGTGGTACAGTAGCGGTCAAAAGTGCTCACCAATTTTTAAACTATTTTTGTGCATTATTTTTTCTCGCTTGAGCTTTCTTTTCTCTCTCCAAACCTTGATATACTATGTTTCCCTGTGCTTTTATATCCTCAAGCTTTAAAGAATCAGGATATTCAAAAGAAAAATTTCGAGGTCACCATTGATTTTTTTTCTGGCAAAAAAAGCGAAGCACGATAATTGGTGCGGCGAATACTTTTACCGCTGTGAACTGTGTTTGAAGGTAATTCTCACAAGTTAAGCTTAGCAGCTAGTTAGAGTAGTGGCACACCTTATCACAAACACGTGCATTTAACCTCACTTACGGATTTTGGCGTAGGAAATTGAAGTTTTTCCAACTTCCTACCTTGGCAGAACGGAAAGTTACGCTTGCTTTGAAGGCGATCGGCAAATACTCAAGACGTGCTAGGTCTCAGGAGTTCCCAACAGAGTCAACCCTGCGTTGCGCAGTTTTTCAACGGCCACGTTGCGCAGTTTCGCCCGATTAGACACGTTCTCTCGCGCGAACATTCACACTCGCATGCTCGAGCCGTCTGCGTCTCCGCCCATACAGCGTGCGTTGAGGATCTCTCAACGTGCCGTTGCGAACTGCGCAACGCAGGGTTGACTCTGGTTCCCACCTAGAAACCCTAGATTTTTGGGGTGACAGGGTCCCAACATTATGACGCATTTTTCGAAAAACATTCACACGAATTCGTGACGCGGATGGGAGTCTCACCCATGTCGTCCCTTTCCTCCGCGGCTGCGCGACTTCTTCCCGAACTCTTTGTATTCGTTCTATGGACCATACCATACATAACGTAACTAAACGACATGTTTCACCGAATGGTTAAATATACTCCAATTTAGCAGCGGTTTTCCAAACATTAAGAAACTGGTAGTTCTGATCACTCCTCGTTTTCCTCTTATTCTTAAGAACATATTCTAGAGATGTCATTAAAGAGTAGTAAATGTAAATACAAATCCATACGCATAGCAATTATATGTTTCTCTTGGCACAGCCACGTCAAGATCACTTTCGACATCCATAACAAAAAAAGGAAAAATTTGATTCTTCATTGCCATAACACATTCTCTTAATCGGAATCCCACCACTAAACCCTCGATTACTTTCTACGCGATGAGTCTTGCTGAAATGGTTCTGCGCCATTCGTATTTTGCTTAGGTATCGCTGAAAATTTATGGATGTGAGGTGAGAGGGCACGCACGCGAAATCGCGCCTGTCCCACGCGGTCAAAGAAGCTGAAACGCGTGCTTCAATTCACTTGTCGAAGAGGCGTGGTCCTACGAGGCAGACACGCGAAAAACCGCTTTGTCACCAACGTAGTAGATCATTGAGCCAAGGTTTCTGCGTCCGCAGTTGCAGAAACAGTGGCTTTTTCGCGACTCAAACCACGTGGAAAAAGCGCTAACTTCTTACAACTTGTGGTTATGGATTACCATAGAATGGATATCTCTCCTGTATCATTTCGTAGCTGAGGCACCGAGGCAGGACAATATGCACTCATAATTCCATCTGGGGTGAGCTCTCACCGGATAAAGCTATCAATGACACCATTCAAGAACTAGGAAGCATCACAAAGTAGATTTTAAATTTAACTTCCTCAACTCGTTACTTTGTATTTAGAAAATAACCTTTTAATAGTGGTAATAGAAAAACAGACAGGTGTTATTCCAAGAAGCAAAACCACTAAAACTTTCATGAATGTCTGCATTATCGTTGTTGCAAATTGGAACACCTAAAAGGATTACGAATGGTCACTTTTACTAGGCGTTCTCCATTAAGCAGGAAAAGCATCGATCCCGATTTGTCCACGTTTTTAATCCACCTCAATCGTCGAGCAAATATAAGAACAATGGCCGGGACACTCGAGTGTCACCCATTTGATGGTCAATCGGCTGAAATTGCACTGAAACCGGTCCGCCAATCATTCATGTATAACTCGCCAGGAGCTGGTATCTGATGCCTGGCCGTTGACCACGAAATTCCTAACTTATGAAAATTCTTTTGAAGGTTTTTACATTGTATCACGTATGGAAAAAGGGCAAAGCAGTAAATTTAAAAGGATCCATTCCCAAAGTAGACTTTAAAACTCTCGAGAAAAATTGTTCGAAATGTGCAGAGCAAAAAAATCACTTTTTTCTACAACATTTGCAATACGAAATTTAAAAATAAGTTTTTGAGCTGCGATTGGCATACGTTTCACTGGAAACTTGTTGAGTAACTCCCACAAATGTTGTACGTCAAAATAGAACTATCAACATGAAATCGCATTTCATACGTTTACGTCTGTGGTGCCTGCGACTGTGGAAGAAAAGAATGAAATCCTTGCTGAATTTTCCCACCAGTTGTGGGTGTGCCCTGTGAAGCGTAAAGGTTTTCAAATTAGTTGTTACGGAATATGGGACCATCTCGATGATTCTCAAAGATTGTTTGACGACCACTAGTGCCCCCCTTTACTTAGTTCCACATGACGAATATGGTATGAAATGTAAATAGCAAAGTGTATCGAAATTCATCGCAGAGCAGAATTTTTGAAAAGTGAAAAAAGCGAAAAGAAAAGTATGTAGGTCACATGAGGATTGCAAAAATATCCTCAGATAACCAACCAGTGATTATCCTAGTCCTAGAAACTACAAAACTACAAAAAAGTAGAAATTTTCGTGGAAGTACACTGTGTTTTAACATATAGCCAAGTTTTTTTTTTCAGTGAATCAAAAGAATTTAGCTTTTTCGGGTCTTTCAGATCACAACAGTCGCATTTCACTCAATATGTGAACCAACGCTTGTGAATGCTTGAAAAATGTACCAGTAACCAGTAGTAGCACAACCCTTACATCACCTACCCGAAAATACCAGGGATGTTTGGAATGTTTCATGTCAGGGGCAGTTAATCCAGTGAAGTCCTCGTCAACTGGTTTTGATTGAACAGGATAGCCTATGTACTAGGGATTTTTCAACAGTTCACTCTGTTGTGTTGTATGTTTTTTCAGTGTCATTTGTTGCGAAGATCGCTAAGAAGAAATTCGATTGCATTTTAAAAGCTATTATTTCTTCAGCTATTATTCTTGTTTGCGACTCGTTCGAATCCGCATGGTGTGAGTTTCATCCCGCCCACCTAGCCAATCACTTTCACTCTATGCTTTTCGTCTTGCTTTGTCTGATCTCAATCCTGAGGGCACAGAATTTGGTTTGTTCTCTTTATTCTTTTTCAGTATATCATATGTACACAATGTCGTAACTCTCAGAGTTTGGAACTTTACCCCATTTAAAAGAGCTATTTTTGAAAATGACATTTGTTAACACAATAGTGACCATTCGTTTTTCCGATGCTTCCAGAAAGTGCATTCTAATGCTGGAACGCACCGGTACAGCGGTTATGTTAAAACAGCTAGATCCAAAGGTGAAAACTGTTGGAATTTTGCTTGTATCAAAGAATTGCTGCTTACCACCAAATCAGGGAGTGGTCTTTAGGTTCACCGAGGAGAAACACAAGCACGGGAATAATCTCGAAAAAAAGTCAAGGTTTTCCTGAGTGCGGTGGGACCGGATCGCCTTTTGTCAAAAATGATATCACGATGCTCGCTACCCGCTAGCAAAAAAAAATCAATTCCAAGAATTTGCAAACGACTCATCTAAAAACTTTTCAAGATTCTTCCGGCAAAATTGTCACTGTGAAGAGATGAGCAGGTCAGGGCCAAAATGAATACCACGATGCCTTCCTGGTTTGGATAATGTGACTAAAAATTGAAACATGCGCGAAAAAAATTGAACCTCAAGTGTATTGCTTTGTTGGAATAGCAGTGGGGCTGCTACTCACCCTTGTTAGCCTGCGGATTCGCCTTCTTCAACCCTTGTCAGATCTACAGATAATGAAAAGTGCAATACAGTAAGTCTTCGAATGGACCATATTATTGTACGCAGTTTCTATTTTGAACTTGTTTTTGTTGGAATTTTTTGCCCACAGCTCAGCATTTGTGATGAGCAGTTTCTATTCTTCAATCTTCAATAGAGCTTCTTCTCTGAACTTCACGTCATCGGTCTATTCGAAAATTTGCTGTACAATCAAAGGTTCATAGAAAGTTGAACAGGCCGAAATCCAAGCGCGCTCTCCGCCATTAGGTGACATTGAGGCATGGACACTATCTTAAAGCTCAAAAAATGCTAAGGCTACCCGATGGTTTTGTCTTAAGGACTGCACAAATTCAATCACGGCAGAACCTCATGGTATTGCTAGTTAGTGCTTAAGAGAGCCAGGGAATGATTAATACTGGAGGGATTGACTAGACTGGCGGGATCAATTTTTTAGCGGTAACTGTCTAGAAAATCCTTAGGCGGCCTTTCTCAGGGTAATAAGGTGGCTGAACCACGAATGACACAAGGGTGTTGAAATCTCTGCATAGAAACTGCTTTTTTTTCTAAATTTTACATCAGGCCGATATAGTGAAAAGGCAACAGTTGGGACGTTTTTCTCTACCCCCCCCCCTTTCCGTTAAATTTTCCACATCCATTAATTGTGCGCATTCCTTCAGTCATTCTTGACCTTGACCTCTTTTCAGTATTTCGACAGAACCCTTCCAGATGAAGAAACGTGGCTGACCCCCACAGATCTGCATAGGGCTCGGTTACTAAATGGACGAGATGTGCGACTTATCAACGACTCAGCGATGTATAATGCAAACCGATTTGAAGGAGATATTAGTTTGTGCATTTTTGACTCATTTTTCTATCTTTATCGCTCTTATCCTATATTTTAGTAAACACCAATCCCAACTATCGAAAAGGAAGCTCGTATGGTGAGCATTTTCTGGTTTCCATGCGTGGAGTTCAAAGGAATGCTGTGCGACAGACTTATTTGAAGTGGGCAGACGGGCGAATTCCTTACACAATAAGCTCGCAGTATTCCTCATACAGGTAAGTTGCTAAGCTTCTGCTCAGTCCTGGATGATGTCTCATTTTAAAAACCTGATCTGTGATTCTAAATTGTGCAGATATTAATTCAGAATTTGCTGCGAAATCTAGATAGCTACTGGGGGTTGAACCACGTTTTCGAAACCTCTAACAGTTGCTTTACGGCCTCAGAGACTAAAGAGCTGAGGTTCTCGGGCTATTCTGAATCAGCTTCCATTACAGCGCTTCTGTAGCGCTTACGAACTTACGGCTCTAGAGGTGAAAGGCCTTCTGAACCATGAAGGCAATTACGTTCTCGTGTGTAACAACCTGAAAACGATTATCCTTTTCTCGAAGTTGATTCCCCCTTCCATACATACATAGTCGATTCCTCTGTGCCGAACAGGTTTTTTTATAACAAAGCGTTTCTTGAGCCGACGACTGGCTTCATGGTCCAGAAAGTCTTTCTACTTAATTTCGACGTAGAGCAGGCTCTAGGGTGCTGGTGGAGTTAAGGCCTTTGAAGACGACGAATTCGTCGAAACGTCGGCTCATTAAACGTCTTGATAAAAAACATGTTTGGCACAGAAGAATCCACTACTGTTGGTACGTGCCAAGGTTTCAAGAGTAACGAATTTGGGGAATATCATTATATTGTTTTCTTCACAGGCAGTCATCCGTGTTAGTTTGTCTTTTCTGCGATTAAACCCCTGGCCCTAACTAAAATTCCTTCGATAGCTCTACAGATTGCACATCAGTAGTGCTTTCTGCTCGAGACTAGACTAAATTTTCAGACGGGTTAAAAGAAAATTGGATGGGATTACATTAAGAGACCACGAATCTAGCGTTTTTACCTATACACAGTCGCCTTACCCTGCACCAGTGGGGCCGCGTTTATTCGGGTAAATTCGCCATGTGAGATCAGAAAATCCAGCCCATCCTGCTCGGTGATTTCCGCCATTTGTTTTTTGGTGTAAGAAATCAGAAAAAATTACTGCACAGTCCTATCAATAGTCTCCTTTTGCAGAATCTGTTATGATTGTCAGACTATAAGTATATTACGATAACTCTTTTTGCCGATCAAATCCTTTACACGATTCAATTGGCCGAACTTGCTGAGTTCATTTTGATTTAAATACTACTTGTAAGATTCGACCTCTCTCTGACTCTTCCACTGTAACTGCGACAATTGCCAATTTATTCCACAGAATTTCATGCTCGAAGTTTCTTCTGCTTCATTCCAAATCGAGCTAGCAGATGATTCTCGCTTTCCCATGATACCGCGTTCAGTGAGGGTGTTTTGAACCGTGTTTAACTATACAGTTCAAGTTTTGTCCATGTCTGGAGTAGGTATCTTGCTTGCAATTAAGTTAAATTATGCTTCCGACATTACCAGTCTCTTCATTTTATTGAGTTCCTTATACTGCAAAACAAGGATCTCTGATAAGCAGTGCATAGAATTTCGGTGCTAAGCCCTACAGGCTCGTTCAAGCGCCTTATACGCTTTCATAAACGTTGAAAGTCAATTGAGAGTTATGACCGTAATTATTCATGTTTTGCCATTCTCTACGAACTAAAAGCGAGAAGATTTCGAAAGAGAAACTGTTATATGGATCAGTGCAGTAGTACAGATATATCTCTTCTGCCCAGTAATCCAGTCCGAAGGGGATGACAGTCCGAAAAAATTATGTTCCAGTCGAAAAGTAGCTGATCCTTGAAGATCTGCCAAAAAGAATGGAGCAAATGTAGCTCATTTCCTGAGTCAAACGCGGTAGAATGCAGGGTAATCACTTTTCGCAAAAGTTCCAGGTTCATGGCGCGTCGTAGAACTTACCACTGAATGAATGAATAAATGGACAAATAAAATAAATAAGTAAGTAAATCAAAGGCTGAACGTTTGCAGCCGATCGAAGATAGCTGAAGCAATTGAGGAATACCGAAAGAAGACTTGTATAGATTTTTCACCAAAAAGTGCTGCTGATCAGGACTACATACATATTGTACCGGACGATGGTTGCTATTCCTTGGTCGGTCGAATAGGTTCGTTGTCTTCTGATCCTCATTGTAATGCACCGCTAAATATTTTACGTTTTTTTTTCTAATTCTCAAGCTAAATACCTAACCTGGTTCGCGTAAACGTACCGGTTAACGCCAGTTAGGAGCTCACTTTCGTGTTTCCTACACTGATGTTTGTTATTTGATCTTTAATTATTCAATTATTCCGCTGGAAATGGCTGGCAGCCGAAGCCACACAGAACCAGATTTGCCTTGTTTCCCCGCACAATGTCCTCTGAAACCCGCTGTGTCAACGTTATATGAAATAGCTAGACGAAATGAAGAAAGTTCAGGAGGCAAGCAACCAGTCAGCCTGGGCGATGGCTGTATACAGAAGGGAATCATCATCCACGAACTGATGCATGCTGTTGGATTTTTCCACGAGCAAAGTTAGTTTTTTTATGAAGTTGACAGAGAATTTACCGTGACAAGGACAAGTGGTCAGAATAAAATCTCTGTGGATTGTGCCATTTGATAACATTCGTGTCGACGGAAGTAAGGCTCACATTTGTACTCACAGCCCCAAAGATTCAAATTTGTAGGAAGCTTTATTTTTTGTGGCGGTTATTAACCGCTAGAAAACTCTATTAGGGACCGGATATGACGTAATACCAGGGTACAAATGGAAAAGCATGCGGAGAAGAGCCAATCTGTGCGTCAAGAAAGGTTTGGGATCAGCACGACCTATCTGAGAGGTCTTCTCTTCTCAGCGACACATAACAGCAATTTTTCGTGGCACAGGGGCTGATGGAAATCTCAAGACGTGATGTTACTAATTTGTGCCTCCACGAGCAGAAGCAAACCCTTGGTCATTGCCCTCATTGCCTTCAAAATATGTTAACAACCCGTTGAGCTCAAGGAGGCCCACCGAAATTACCCCAACCCCAAAATGCTACCTAACTTCTTCAAGCGTTCCTATGATGGAGGGTTCCCTATAGATACTAGCTCTGACTGCGTAACGCCCCTGCCCACTAGCGTCACAGAAAGTCCTTAATGGTCCACGATCCGTCGAGAAATTCGTTGATTGCGATCCTTGCACCCTGCTCTCGTGGCAGATCCTTCGAAGATGTGAAGAATGTTGTGAAGCCCTTATGTAGGTCTGAATGTCTCCTTTAAGCAACAGATAGAAGCATCATGTCTGAGTATGACTAACTGAAATTATGTGTGAAGGGCGAAAGTCTTTTTCTGCCCCACCCCCTTGTGTCAATGCTTAAAGGACGAATTCACGCTGAAAAAGCAACCCATTTCAAATTAACTAGGGATGGTGAGTGGTACACGAAAGAAGGAAGAACCATGAGAAACGGCCCAGAACCCGAGAAATGGGACCCCTTCCTTGCCCGTTGATTTGAGCATTGATGCGACTCTCATCGCTGTGCCCTCTTCAACACTACGCTCTCTCAGCTATCTAATCACTCGCCACGTATTGAACTACGGCGAGTGATCAGATGATCGGTGGGCGGAGATCGCCGGACCCGCCAGCTTTGAGGCATGATAGGTCGCCGAGGTCAAATTTTTCCATGCGAATTGCGCGTCAGTTCGCACCCTCAGGAGGTCCGTGGGTCCCTCAACTAGGTCAGTTTCCCTTTCTTCGACCTTCATTCTAATCGTGAATTCCTCCTTTAAGCAACAGTAGAACATAGCCGTCTGAGCTAAGCACTGTATGTCCAAACACTAAATTTGTATTGTTGAAAAGTCGAAAGTCTTTTTCTTGCCCCACCCCCTTGTATCAGTGCAGTTTAAAGGCAAAGGTCGGGCTCAGCCGCGCTAGAGGAGTAATTCCCGTGCCCGGAGGTTGTACGTGAGTAGCTGCACACATTGCAGCAACGTCCCACCTTGAAAAACGTCGTTAAGGCCCCGGGGCCGTCGGTTTCAATCCGGGACCGCCTCGTCAATCCGGGACCGCCCACCTCCGGAAGTGGTGCGTGGCTGGCATAACGTGTGAAATCAGCTAGGTTGATTGCCGTATCAACCGATAGAACTCCAGAAAACTTGTTTGTACGTGCCTCTTTCCCAAGCCAGCCTCCTTCACTGCTAGTGGGAAAGAGGGTTTTGTTAACGGCCTTGTCGACGGTTTTTCTCAGTTTTTTCTCCACTGTCGTTCCACTTCGCATCTCTATACTCAGTTTCAATCGCCATAATACCCCCTTATTGAGCCCGACTTTTGCCTTTAAATGAAAAAAATCGTAATTCCGTAACCTTGCCTGGATAGATAGTATTTTCTCCTTTTTCTGGAAAGGTCAACTTACCATCTTTTTTTAGCAATGCAAAGCCATCTAGCAAATTATGCCCCTTACTCGAACCTGGCAGAGCGAAGGTTGACCGTTATGAAGAGTGATCTTTATGGCCCACTACACTGGATTGGACCAATCAGCGTACGGTTCTCCTAAAAAGCTTCATTTACAGGTCGTGCTGATCGTGATGATCATGTGATTATCAACTGGAACAATGTCGAATCAGGCCTTCAAGGTTCGCAAAAAACTCTGACCACTTCAAAATGACTTACTAGGAAATGTACCCATTGCAGACCAATTTGACAAATACTCCTTGAGCATGGTGAACCATCTTGAAACCGAATATGACTACGGATCGGTAATGCACTATGCACCCACAGCATTCAGTAAGGTGAGCTAATCCCAACAGAAACTTAAGCGTTTCAGGCATACAGAACTTTTTGAACAAAAAATTTCATGTTTTCCAGAATGGCAAACCAACAATAGAACCACGGAAGAAAGGAGTAGAAATTGGTCAACGCATTGGCTTTAGTGAACTGGATTTGTACAAAATTAATAAGTTATATAACTGTCCACAGTCTGGTGAGTTATGTACCTTACTTGTATTTGATACTACTTGTTTCTATAGCTCTTTTCTTGAAATCTCATTAGAATAAAGTACTTTCAGAAACGAAACCAAGCACGCTACAAAAGACGATGATGGGCACCAAGTCAGGGGTTGAATCGTCAAGTTTGACATCAACAGAGGAGCCTAACAATAGCGAAAATGGTCAGGAAACAACCACGTCCGCAGTTACGTCAGAAAGCGAATTGCTTCTCTTGCTCACAAAAACATGCGCTGACAGGTATGGCAGTTATATCCTAAGGACGTTCGTCTTCTAATTCAAACTCCTCTTCTTTTAATTCTTCGATTGAAACCCTGTTGAATTCTCTTGAGAGCTCTGATCAGTTGTCAAGCAAGTTCAAGTAACAAGCATTTCCACTTCACTTCACTCCTTTTCCTTAAGACTTGCCTGTAAAAGTGAAAAGTAAATGATATATTGATACTTGATAGAGTTCGCGATATAAAATATCATTCCATGTTCATTTGCCAGACCGGGTAGCGTAAAAGGGGCCCAACTGAGCAAAAACTTCTTAGATGCTCGCTTAATTTTGGTTATTTCTCACTCAAAAAGGCGTTTGACCGGTTCGAACGATTCGTCTTTTTCCCTTCTTTCTGCAATTTAGCGAGGTAACTGTAAAACCGATAGAGGCTGCAGGAATCACTGGCGGCGAGCGATAATGAGCGCTGAGATGTGTAAAAAAATGAAAAAAACCTGCGGTGATTTAGCTGTTCTTTTAGATGCGTCGCGCATCCGACCTCAATTCAGAATCTTGGGTTGTTCGCTGCGTATGCCTGCCTAATAGGACGCCGATATAAGCCGATGAAAAACTCTCTCTTTGTGTGTGCTCATACAATTAGACCGCGAAAGGATGGGATTCTTGGTTGTCCTGTGGGGATGCGAGCGGCTATTGGCCCCCAAAGATGCACATGGTGCTGCTTGTCACTCGTTCAACGCGATCTCATTGAAATATTTTATATGGCATCAAAAGGTTCAATGATGAATAGGCAAGTAGGAACTGTGTATAAAGGTGGTAAGCTTACATCATTGTGAGCAGAGTGCGCGGAGCACATGCGGAGCAGGAGGTCGCGCCTATCACGCGAATGGGTGGGGTTGTTTGTGTGGGGTGGGGGATGCGAGATTGCACGAGGCGCGATTGCTAGGGATCCAAGAGAGGTCGTCGGCGAGTCGGTGCCACAACCATGCTGATTGCGCAGTTTCCAGCGGGCACGTCGCGCACTTTGCGCCGATTGAGAACACGTTTCTACGCTGGCGAACATTCCATTCGCTATGGCTCAAGCGTTTTGCGTCTCCCAGTTACAGCGCTCGTGAGATTCTCAACGTGCCCGTTGCAACTGACGACAACGCGAGAGGTGTGCTTCTGATTGTGAGTTATATGATTTTAAGTAGGGATTCGCGATAAGGAGAAGGTCGTAAGAAAGGGAAGTTCATGTTAAGAGAGACAGTGTCGGGCTAATTAACGGTGCGATTCGACATCAAACGGCTCGAAGTGGTATGCACGGGGCACAATCCAGCATTGCGTACCCCGTGGGCTACTGGCCAGAGCTTTGGGCGAGTCCTTTCTTCTCTGTCTTGTTTTTGGCGCCAGTCTAGCGTTTGCAGGGGGAGGGGAGGAGATTAGCGTTAGAAGATCGGCAGTACAGCATGCAGATCTCGCACATCGAAAATCGGCGGCGCAAGAGAAGTGTTCTCATTTTGAGTTTCTAATGCATTTTTTAGATTTTTCTCCTTTCGTGCATCACTGACCATCCCTAACTTGATTTCTAATGAGCTGCCTTTTCACATTAAAATCGCCTTTGATCTATTGTTTACTCTTTGCCAAGTGTAAGCGAGCAAAGCTTGCTCTAGGCATTATCGAAACATCAACGAGTTAAAGAAACCGCCTCAGAGAATCCGGGCCTGGCTCGACGTTATCTATCTACACTATAGAGTTCAGGGGCGGTTCCCACTCATGTATCAGTACAGGGAGTGGAGGCTTGAGGGACCAATCTTTCTTCTGCTTATAGCCTTCACTAAATCTACCTTTATTATTCAAATCTGTCTTTTTAGTCATTACGTATTTTTTTTATATATTCTTGTTTCGCCGACCCCGTACAACAAACAGATGTTTACCCCATTTTTCGATTATCTTGACGTGATACATACATTTAACACTTAAAAAACGGATAATATTAATGGTAGGCAAGTATGAAAGCTGGCTTGTGACTGAAACTGACTTCTGAACAATACTAGCCTTTGCTTCAGATAAATACCAGTAGTCGTAATTAGCCGTCTTGACACGGTGGAAGAATTAACTCGATACTAAGATGTACTCTCAACCGCATTTTTTTTTGCACTCGTCGACCTTACTAATCATAAATATTCCAAGCACACTAAAGATAGCTCCTATTAGGCGGAGTCATAAGCAATTGCCAATAATGAAATAATGCCGTTCTCCTCAACACATGTTCGTCACTGTATATTTTACGAGTTCCGCCTGGGGCACTCAGCAAGAGGAGCCTGTCGGGATATTTGTGTATCTGGAGGACCAGACTCGCTAAATGAGAATATCTATTGAAAGTGGTTCGGGAAGCTTCGCCAGGGCGACTATAACCCTGAAGACCGACCATGTTTTGGACACCCAATGGCCGTAGATATTGAACGCATGCAAGAGCTTCTTGAAGGCAACCCGGTACCAGTCAAACTGCAGTAGACCTTCAGTCCTCCCAGTGCACCATGTGTCGTTCCCTCTGAGCCATGGAGAAATTGTACACACTGGGAAGATGGAATTCTCACGAGTTGGACGAGGTGGCTCGAAGGACACGTGTGATCATCTCACAAAGTTTGCTGCAAAAGCCGTTGTTTCGATCGGCTTGACAAGGGTCACTGGGGTTGAGGAGTGCGCAGTCTAGCCAAGCAACCTACGGAGGCATCAGTGGGAACGTGCAGCTCAGCAGCGACAACGAGCCCCAATAGGTGAACTTCACCCGGAGTAGGTTCCGCTCTCCGATTGTAGGATTGCTTCATCACAGACTTCAAACAATACCACCACTGCCGGCGCAGACACCTACTGCTTACAGCTGGATAAACTTGCTTCGGATATCGCAAAGTTGAGGCTCTCAATACATGAAATTGTTCCACTGCGCGGCAGCTCGCAACCCACATGTATCGAGAGAATGCCAGAATACTATACAGAAACTTGGCCTCATGATTTCCTCCCACTCTTTCTAATCCACTGAGGTATAGCAACCAATCACCAGTTGTTCCGCTTGCTGCTCGTTTCCTTAACACTTTGACGACAGCGCGGGACACATACGTCCCGCACTTTCACACGGAAGAGACTTGTTTTTCCTAAATTGTGCCTCCATTTTCATGCTTCAAGACTGGCCCTTCCTAC